CACTTTCTCCTCTAGTTACAGTGACTCCTTGCTGGTTCTCAACACACCACTCCTGCCCCAGGCCCTTTGAATTTGCCATTCCCCCCGCCTGCAATGCTCTTCTCCAAAATATACCTGTGGTTCTCCAATCACTTCCTTCAGGTCTTTACTCAAATATACCCTTCTCAGTGAGGTCTTATCTAGCCATCCTATTCAAAATTGCCAACCACCCCGCATCCCACAGCACTCCATTTTCCCGCATTGTTGCACTGTATAGCACTTAGCACCACAAATACAAAACACACATATTTTACAAATCTATCTCTTTATTACCTGTCTTCTCTACTAGAATGTAAACTCCATGAGGGCAGGGGTTTTGTCTGGGCCATGTCCCAGCACCTAGCACAGTGCCTGCCATATGCTAGGCACTCAAATAACTGCTGAGAGAATAGGAACAGTGGATCGGGAAGTGACTAGGAGGTAAGGAAGGGAAAGCCGGTACAGGTCATGCTTTCAAGATCTCTGGTGAGTAGCTTAAGAGGAAACCAGTATCAGGAGATTTTCTTCAAGTGGGAAAGACTCAAGCATATTTACAGAATGTTAGGGGAACAGAGCAGCATGAAAAGGGCTGAGGATTTGAGGAAGGGTATCTGGCTATGCCAAGTCTGGGAGAGAGGGGAAAAGAATGGCCCTGTGAGCAAGGGGAGAAGGGACGTCCATGAGAGGGACGAGGGCAGGAAGGCAGCACAGAAGGACAGGTGTAGAAATGGAATAAGCTCATACCTGGATCTCAGTTTTCTATCTCAAGGTCCGGGGAAGAGCTTGAGTGGTGAGGGTTTGAGGAGGCTTTTCTGAAATGAGAAGGCAAGCTGACCTGGAGAGAAGGGTGGCTCAGTCATGCGGAGGGTCCTGCTCACTCGAAAACCGTAAATCTGTGGCGGAGTTTGGGGATCTCCCCCAGTCACACCGCACAGCCAACAAGAACCAAAGCGGTAAGTCCTAGGACTGTCAGAAGAATGATTAAATTAAAGCCCTTATTAAACACTTCAGACACCAGACAAAGTGTAAAACTCTGAGGAATAATAAATAAGTGGGTAAATGATAGGAATAACCATGGTTGGTGACCTATTTTAGAGCACCTTCAACTGACAGATATATTTCAAGATGGTATTTCTGGAAAGAGCATGTTTTGAGGACAGGTCTGGAGGAAGAAAGATGAAACTAACCATTTGGCAAGTGGACTCTGAAAGGCTAGTCTAAGAACCTAGCAGGAGGGCATGCATGGCATAAACAGAAACCCCAAAGAGAAGATCCACAGAGAAAAACAAACACGTCTTAGCTACCGCTCGCTAGGAAGGGCCCAGATGTACCCTGAATGTACCCTGGCAGGTTTGGCTCAGCAGTTAGAGTGTCGGCCTGAGGACCCAAGCCATTGGGTCTGATTCCAGGTCAATGGCACGTACCTGGGTTGCAGGTTCAATCCTGGCCCCAGTTAGGGTCATTAGGGAGGCAACCAGTCGATTTCTCTCTCTTTCTCTTCCCCTTCCTCTCTCCCTCCCTCCCTCCCTTCCACTCTATCCAAAAAAAATCAATGGAAAAATATCCTTGGGTGAGGATTAACAAAAATAAATAAATAAAATGAAATGCTGAAATGTAACATTTTGGAACCAAAGAATTTGACTTGCAAGAAAAGATCCCTAATTTCCAAAGGGACCAAAACAGTGCTTACACGAGCTTCATACAATCATGGGCTCCTGTAGAATTGTCTTCAGTCCATAATGAAAGTCCAACTGCAATGAGACTTATATTCTATTATGTAGCTAGTAAGTATTCTTAGGAAGACATATTTTTATATAAAAATTATTGACCTAAGTAGCTGCTAACTAACATGTATTATGTCCTTCCAATCTTTGTATACTACAGTGGGACAAATGAATGAATGATAGTCCTTGGGCCCGGAGAATTCTATGCCAAAGAATTGAAATAATTTGTGGATAGACCAACATCAATGATCTTGAGGAATCGTGAAGAATTGGAAGTTCTAGAACACTAGAGGTAAAGAGGAAGAAGGCAGTTTCTGCAAAGCACAGAGCTGTGAGATTATGCATGATCCGGAGCAGGATCTAACCTTAATGTTACTGGAGTGATGGTTAATGGACGCCTGGAAAGGTACAGTACTGCTCACCAAGGTCATTTCAGACCCACTCCCCTGCTTACTTTGACTGGGCTCGCGGTGGTGGGCAACAGCAAGAAGCTGGAGCTGGGGGATGGCTGGCCCCTTCAGGAGAAGCATGTGCTCTTCAATTTACCCATTTACACCCCCTGGATTAGCTAATACAGTCAGCCCTCGTTTATCGCAGTTAATCAGTTCCAGACTCCACCGCGATAAATGAATTTTGGCAAGTAGGATTCTTTATTTACGCACAGTCGTCCCTCGCCACTTGGCGCTTCAACGTCCCCGGCTTTGCTCTACCACAGTTTTTTCAAAATATAGTCTAGTATTTGAAAAACCGCGATAGAGTGAAGCCGCGGCCGTCGAAGCGCGAAGTGGCGAGGGACCGACTGTAGACAGAATGACAGATTCGGGACTTAACAGTTACTATAACAAGGATTAAAAAAAAGATCTTGCTGCGGGCGGCAGCCACTCGATGTGTACCTTTTGCATCGATGTTTCTCTCTCTTCCTCCCCCCTCCCCCTGTTTGAACAAAAAATGGGAAAATGTTCTCGGGTGAGGATAAAAAAAAAAAAAAAAAGATCTTGCACTTGATTTCAGAAACCCAACTGAGAAAATCCGAGATAGGGAAGGGAGTGATTCAGGAGCAACAAACATAAAAACATCTTTCAGCTGATAACAAGCTCCATGAGAAATCAACAGCGAAGTAGGTGGCAAAGTAAAGCAAAGCAGCCTTAAGAGAACATGGTGTCTACGCTAAAACAAAGGCGGCGGCAGCAGTGTTCTGACCAGGGCTGGCTGCACCGGACTATTTATTATACTATGTTGACTTCTGCGCAGCTCACTCCGAGAGGGTCTGCTAGTTATTCTGCATTGCCCCCCACTATGATCTATTTTCTGCACTGCTCTGTGCGCTAAGGGAGCTGACCCCTGCATCACCCAGAATCCCTTGCACTGGGTACTTCCCACTGGGTCCAGCCAATTGGAAGTACCGGAGAGAGAACAGGCAGAGCGTCCCTTGTGCCGTGTCCCCCTGCTCCACCTACCTCCACCTTACTGACAGTGGCTCTGTCCCTCCACAGCTGTAGTTCCTGTCAGACAGCCCCCCTTCCAGAGCTCCAGCTCTCAACGGGCTCTGGTTTGCTCCCCTCGTCCCTTCGGGTCTAGGGATGGTCACAGCTTCCCCTGTCTGCTGCTAGGCCCTAGGTTCCTCATCATCCGCCTGGGTTCCCTCAACCCTGCCCCCGCCTCTGTAAACAGTCTCTTCCCTACACGACTTTCAAAATCCCAACTAAGTTGACCTTCTGTTTTCTGCAGGGACCCTGAGTGGAACTGAAGAGACAGGACGCAGCAGGCCATAAATTCTTGTCTACGAGGACCGACTATAGAAACAGAAAGTGTTTGGCGCGAGGGGAAGACTGCAGGAAATAGCTAGCCCACCTGAAAAAGCCAAGGGCCACCATCAGACTCAGCCTCCTGGCTCCGTGAATAGAACAGCAGTAGATAGAGACCACATTTTTACTTTTACAGCAGAGTAAACTTTCCTAAAGAGTTGGCAAAGGCGGGGTGAGCTCTCCTGGGAGGTCAAGAGCTCCAGAAATTCCGACTTGCCCAGTCTTAAACCAGAGAGCCCATATCAGCAATACCGTAGGAAAAAGAAGGGCCCTCTAGAGAAGGGCTTTCTGAGGCAGGATTTCATGATTTGCTACCAGCTGCATGCTACTCAATGATTTACCAAATTAACCAAATAGGGGAAAACATTTTTGGGGATGTGTTTTGCTGATTCTCACTTCAAGAGAAAGGATGGAAAGCTCATTCTGTGTGTCCAGTTGGATAATTCTCAACAGTGAAGTTCTTTTTTACGCTTTAAGGGAATTCAGGAACATGAAACTTATTTTACATCTCAGTGTCGCAGTCTTCAAAAAGGATTATTCCCACACCACTGAGCAGTCGGAGAGGGGAAAACCAATTAACCAAGCAACTTCTATCTATGCATCGATCACTAGCTTCTTCAGAATTGTCATTTCATTTTTCAAACCAAACACCCGGATGCGAAATCTGCCCATGAGACAAAATATTTTACAAGCAAATTGTCCTGGAAAAAGAAATGAGTGCTTCAATTCACCCGGGTGGGGAAAGGAAATGGTTTTTACAAGAGCTCTCAACTTCTGAGTTCACAGAAGGGTCACGTCCATGATGCTACGTGTGTTACTCATCCTGGTTTTCTCCCCTCGGGTTCCGGTTGATCATTTTTACACAGCAGGACCGCCAGCTTTTCACTCATTCATTCAACACGCATTTGATGTTGATCTACTCACTAACAGAGTCCACTGGGCCCTGGGGATGGGCAAGATCCAGAGGCCAACGCTGCATCTGGACTTCAGCAAACAAACTGACTTCAAAGACCAAGGAAAGGCAGAGAGTGAGAGTGACGGCGCCCAGAAAAGTTTCCGCAGAAACTTGGGAAATGCCAGCCTTCGGGCGCACAGAGGGCGGGGACTTGGGCCTACAGGAGGACACCGCCTCCTGCCTGGCGGGCCGTCCGTCCTGGGCCCTCGGGCCACGCGGCCGCGGCCCCCGGCCCAGAGCGGGCGTTGCCTGGTTCCAGGCCCGGGCAGCTCCACCCCAGCGCCGCGGGGCCCTGGAGAGCTGCGCGGGTGCGACCACCGGCAGGGCGAGGGCGAAGGCCCGCGGGCGCGCCTGGCCCCGCAGACGTTCCCGGGAAGCGCGCGCACGCCTCGCCGCGCCCCTCTCTCCTCCGGGCACACGCGGCGCGCTCCCGCCCGGCCGGAGCCCCAACCCCACGAACCCCAGCCCCTGCCGCTCGTGCGGCCGGGCCACACTCACCCTCTTTGGCTTTCTTCCTCCGGGCCAGAGTCCCTCCGAGTTTCCCCAAGAAGGAGTCATCTTTCTTTCGGGATGGGGGCGACTTGGGAGTAGGGGACTTGGGGACCGAGGGAGACTTTTGCGGGGAGGTGGCCATGGCGGTGGAGCGGGTAGCTGCGGGCCGGTGGGGACGCGGACTGGCGCTGGGCGGGCGCGGCGGGACTGAGGCTGCGGCTTTCCAAACGGAAGCGGAATTATTCCAAGCATTTAAGGCAGCTCACGCTCGCCTTTCCCTTCCCTCTCTCCCTCCCTCGCGCCGCCCTCCGCCCTGCGAGGAGCTGCGCGCTCGGGCCCTCGCTCCAGCCAGGCCTGCTCCCTGCGCCCCTGGCTGCCCCAGCGGGGAGAATGTCCCAAATCGGCCCCGTGCAGGATTTACAGCCTTATCTGTTTGTGCGTGTGAGTGACCCACTGGCCTGAAAGCCCCATTTCCTCTGGCTCTGCACCTAGCACAGATCCTTGCAGAAATCCAGGGTTCAGCAATTGCTGAACCCAAACCACCTGTTACTCTGTCGCCCAGTGTCTTGGCTCAGCTGCTTGGCGAGGCCCTTGCTTTCTCTCGGCATTTCTACCTGTACAGTTAATAGGCCCGTGTCATGTGCCCCAAAGGGAGTGTGCAAAGAAATAGAGGGAACCAAAATGTGTTCAGGCCCTACCAACTGGGCACCTCCGACTGTTTCCACATTTATCCAAAGCTGTGGCGTAAGTGGGCACATCAAACCTCCTCTTCATTTCCATACCCAAAACCGAGAGGTTTGACGTTCATGAGCACAGGGCCCAGGCTTCTTATTCTTAGAGACATCTCTGCTTCTAGCAGTTCAGTGGCTTGTGCAAAGGAAGATCCCAAATGTTGGTGTGGACATGAATGAAGGTACGACCATGGGATCCTGTGAAACTGCCCCCTCCCTCAACTTATCCCACCTAAGTAAAAGCAACAGAGTGACAACCAAACTCATTTGGGTTAACAGGTGTCCTGGACACAATGTTTCAAGGACTGAGGCTGGAAATGATTAAAAGGCACGTTTCAATGTGCTTACCCATTGTAAGTTCTCACTTGAATTCTTCTGTCTGTCGCTCCGACACACACACTCACACAGCCCCTTAGCAAGTGTGTTTCCTCCAAGTAGCTACAGCTGATTGACCTCACCCAAAGAACTGCTAATGCTTGACTGGAGAGCAGCCAATAAGATAGTCTCAATCAAGAATTAAGCTCAGCTAGAGAGACTTGTCAGAAGTTGAGAACTTAGTGATGATCATGCAGACTTAAGACTGAGTGTCCATTTTTAGCCATACTATGTTGATGAGCAAAGAACCAAAAGAATGGAGCCAAGTAGTGGTCTCAAGGAGCCATGTGGTCTGATTAAAGAAAAACCACAGGGAATAGCTGCCTGGACCTTGAATGGCTTCCCAGTGCCTACTTGCCCTCAGAAGGCAGCTGTGTGTCCCTCTGAGGGTATGTTCCCAGAGCTTTTTAATAACCCATCCACCTTTACTACAACTAATGAGAAAACTAACAAGCAGCAATTTCTGAAAACAAAAATGTAACAAACAAGATGATCAATAGATTCAGCAGAGTATGTGTTCATTTTATCTTTGCTGAAAAGTCCTAATTTTACCTGTTTTGAAAATTATACTTTAGCTGCTGCCTCTTACCTAATAGAAGCAGAGAAGTCATGATGACTGCTAGAACTTTTCACCCGGGAGCAGGGGGACATTATGACAAACACTACCCAACCCCCTATTACCACCCTGATAAATCTTAAAGAGATGGGAAGCAAAATAGAATTGTGTTTTGATTGCATCACTAACATAATTATTCAGGATATTGAATGCATAAGGGACATCTCCAAAATCTGATCTCCTGGGAATCATGAGAAACAGCTCAATAGCTATGTCATCTTGGGCACGTTTACTCTTGTTTCTGAGTCTCTAGTTCTTCATCTACAAAATTAAGCGGTGGGAAGGAATAGTGGATCATAAACCTGACTGTGCATCACAATCCCCGAGGGAGTTTGTTATACCCATTCACAGGTCCCATCTCTAGAAATTCTGGTTGAGCACATCTGAGATAAAACCAAGAGTTATTTTCTAGCGGAAATGACATCAGGTGATTTTGATCCACGCACTGATGTTTGGGCACCTAAAACTACTTCCAGCTCTAACACTCCGTGATTCTCAATTCTTTACCAATTGCTGATATCTATGTGCAGGGCTTAGGTTCTAAATACAGCATGCTCAAAATTATACATGGAGATTTCGTAAATCGCTCATGCATGGTTTTGCATATACAACCCTCTTCGGTAATTTCTATGCATACTAAAGTTTGGAAGCAACTGGGGCAAGATTAAAAGGAGGAATAAACAAAGGAAAGTCCTGATTGTTGAATGCTGGCTCCCAGAAAATACCAGCAAAATGAGCTATGGAGAAGGCAAAGCTGAGGTTATTGTTCCCCATGGTAAGGAGATCCCTGCCTTCACAGTGTTAGTATCATCTTGGACTAGGGAAGAGCAGGGGCAAAGCAGGGATATTTGTAAGGTTTTGGAATGTGGTTTAAGGCAGGTCTTTCATGAGGCTGTGCTAGATCATTTTGGCTAAGGATTGTGATAACATAGTTTAGGATTAGTGGACACAAGCCAAGGCTTTCAAAGAGTCTTAGAGATTAAATAGTCTTTTTAAAGCTGCCTATTGAAAAGTTTAAGGGTTTTCTGTTCATTTCCATGACATTGAAAGGGAAGTTCTTGAAAAGAACAATAAAGTTATTTGTAACTTTTATCTTTTATCTATTCTGTCGAATAAAGTCCCGTTAATGTAGACAGTGAACGGTTTCCAGGATCTCAATATTATGCAGATGTCTTTTTATTCAAAACTTTCTGCCTCAAAGATAATTATTAATCTCTTGAAAGGCCAAGGGGGAATGGGTAATAAATTATGAATCAGTGCTACTCAAAGTGTAGTCTGAAAACCAGTATTGATCTGCGAACTATGATTGGTCCTCAATGATATAAATGTAGAAACGGAGAGTGTTTAGGAACTTTTGTTGCAATTTAACAATGCAATTTTATATCGGTTTAATTTAATAATAAAAATGGGAAGCTTATATTTTGCATGCTATATTTTATTTTCTTAATAATTCATTTTTTAAATTATATTTTACAAAAAGAGTGGTCTATGATGGATTGGTCCTTCACCACAGATTGTTTGAAAAGCATTGTTCTAAATCGCTCTGGTTTGCTTACGGAGTTTATATACACTCTTTTAATATTATGCTTTTAGAGTTCTTATGGATATGAAATGATCTGGTTTTTATTCAGAAGATTAAATGAGATAATATATGGTGAAGCGCCTTGCACAAGGCCTGGCCCTGTGTAGACTGAATTGAAATCTGGTGTAATCAGGGACACACTGCACACTGTTCTGTGATAAGATGCAGAGAGGAACCTTCACCGGCTTCTCTGATCGAAATTGGTGGTGACCAAGCCCCTCTCGTGCTTGGTCATTGGTCTCATCTAACCCAAGGTTTAAATGACAAGAACAGCTCATAAGTTAAATGTGTATTGTGTGAGACTCTGCCGAATGTCTAGGTCATTCTGTCCTTGAAATCTAGGCCCAGACAAACTGCACCAGGAGAGCATAACCCCCTGTTCCAGTCCTGGCTCAGGAGCTGGGTGACCTTGGACAAATCTCTGCCCTTGCTGTGCTTTCATTTCCATCATCAGTAAAGCGAGCCCAGGCAGTACCATACGATCAACAATTACAACCTAGGTTACGCCCAACAAAAATGAGTACATTTGTGTACCCAGATATGCAGTCTAGAAAGTTCCTAGCAGCACCATTCAGATGCCTATTTATAGTTCATTCAACAATTAAATGTGATAGTCACACAGTGGAATATTACACGGTGATGAGAATGAACAGTTGGCAACTACACGCACCAATAGGAATGTATCTCTCAAAATAATGTTGAATGAAAAAAAAGCAGACACAAAGAACATATACTCTAGCATTCTATTCGCAGAAAATTCAGACAGGCAAAACTCATCTCTGATGCTAGAAGTCAGGATAATGATTAGCCCTGGGCGCGGTAAGGACGAGAATGGGCGGACAGTGGGAGGCAGGAGGGAGGCTACTGGAGCTGCTCATGTTCTGTTTCTTGGTCTGGGTACTGGGTCCCTGGGTGTATTCACTTTGAAAATCCATGGAGTGTGCACATAATAATTTGAGCCATTTTCTGTATGTATATTGTACTTCAATAAAAATGTATAAATATATCACAAAACAGATTAATTTGGAAAAATAAAGCCATGAGACTACATGCTCTGTAGAGTCCCCTTTACCTCCACATTCTCCTTCTCTAACTCCCTGGGTGACCCGCATCACTCAAAAATTGATAGGTCCCGAACTAGGCCAATTCTGTCCCCAGACCTTCCCTTAAGCGACCATTTTTCTTCTTTTTCCATTGTCCTATCAATAAAACATGTGCTGCCCTCAGCCCCCCGGCATTGTTCCTGCCCCTTGCACCTCCCTCAGCCATTCCAACAGGCGGGGCATTGTGATTACCAGTCAGCAGCATGCAGCGGTGAAGGTTTGGGGTTCAAATCACCATCCTGCAGCCAGATAGCTGTATAATCTTGTGCCAGTTAACCCCTCTGTGCTGTTTTCTCATCATCACGAGAACACAGGAGTACTTACCACACAATATTGTTGGGAGAACCAAGAGAGTTGGTGTGAATAAACTATTCAGCCCAGTGCCCAGCAGATAACAAGCCTTAGCTCAATGAATGTTCATTATTAGTTTCTCATTTGAGATGCATAAGTGATATTATCTCCATTCTATAGATGAGTAACTGGAAACTCAGAGTTTAACTTGCTTTAGATCATGTGACTAGCCAATAACTGAGAGACGAATACTAGAGCCCCTAGCCTCTGTTCTCCCAAATAGCCATAGGACCCGCACTGGTCAGCTAGGATTACGGTCCTCAGAACAAAGACAATGTTTTCCAGGTAGGTGCAGTCACCTGATTAAGCTTTGACCAATAGGATGCAAACAAAGTGTAATGTGACAGCTTCCAGGGTCTTCCTAACAAAGAGATGGAAAGTGGCTGTTTGGTTTCTTGTACCACCAGACTATGGAATGCAGGCCAGCCCTTCCACTGAAAACATTTAGGAAAGC